ATAATATAAAATAGTAAAATGGTAAAATGATAAAAATCTTGTGAAAACTAAAAAAAGGTATAATTTAATATAGTCTTCCGATTCGGCTCGTTCCGACACATATACATACATATACATATACGAATGAGAGGATACAGAATACTAACAGCAATATCTCGTTTAGATAGCTTCAAAACTGAGAGACTAGTTTGCGTAGAAACGGACAGACGTACATACATGGCTATATCGACTCGGCTGTTGATGTTGATCAAGAATATATATACTTTATATGGTCGGAGGTGCCTCCTTCACTGCGTTGCAAACATCTAACTGAAATTAAATAGTTTTTTATGCAGTATAACTTGGAAAGCTGTCTGTTAATTTTATTTGGCTGCATAATTATTTTCTTTTGTATGCCGTTTTCCGTACATTGGCAGCATTTGTATGAAATTGAATGACTACGAAATTTTAGTTATTTTTTTTTATAAATGACTCGAAAGAAAATAGAACAATTACTATTTCAAACAAGAAACAATAGGAACTTAATACAATATGAATTATAAATGTACATATGTATTTATTCTAAAATATTTGTTCGAAGTAATGAATACTGACTAAATTTACAGTTTTCTGCTTATGTTTTTTGTTTATAGGTTTTTTAAAGTTTTTAAAGGTAACAATATGTATTTTTTTGCAACGTTGCGATGTTTTTTGATACCCATTAATTAAAAATATAAGCGTTAAACCTAAAAACAAAAAAGAAATAGCAGAAAAACTACTTATATGTATTTAAATCACCCACATTTTGTAATTGTTTTTTTTTTTATGGTAGAATTAGTCTTTAATTTTTATTTTTGATGCAACCGTATTTACTATGAAAATTGGGAAGGTAACAAAAAACTTTTCCTTTGTATTTTTTATATATCCTAGATAATGTGAAAGCAGCAGACATCCCAAATAAAATGCCGTTTTCCTGTTTGATTTCGTATCACATAATCGCCTGAAACCCAATCCATTTCAAGGTTATACTAATTTTACTAATTTCATCGATGATTCATCAACAAAATGCCTTTTGGGAAATATAGTCAGAAAAAAAAACTTAAATTAAAATAAGTAGTAATTATAGTGAAATAACTTAAATAATTTGTCCCCCAATGCAAGCACTAGCCGCTAAGTATTGCTGTGACGTCATAAGCAAGTGAGCCGCCGCCGCGGCGCACTGGCTGTGGTCGTCCAAAATCTTTGAAAAAGACTCTGCATGCTGAAATTTGAACACGCATACAAACGTGCGAGCGCTTCTACACATATACACATATACACAGAAACGAGAGCACAGCGAAAGGAAAGCACCCCTGCTCATCGTTTCACGGTCGATCTGCCACTGAAAAGTGAATTCTTGTTGTGCTCGGTTTCGAACAAATGCTTCGAACTCGAAAAAGCCGAACGCACTCTGGGGTTCTAGACATATCGTTCGGGTGCTCTGGGGTCAGTGCTGCCAACTTTTGACCAACAAAAAAAGCTGTTTTTGACGGGAGAAGTGAAAAAAAAAGCTTAAAAAAATTATAAAAAAATAAAAAAAAAAAGCTGAAACAAATGTATAAATAATAGAAAAAATGTCAAAAAATATAACAATTTAATAAGTTCACTTTTGTTTAAAAGATTTCCATAATTTGATCAATTTCTTCATGGTCTTTCTTTATTTTCGTAAGACCTAATAGTTCCTATCATCATCTGCAGATATTTGATTGGCACTTCATAGTCGACGCAGCATTTCCCGACCCTTCGCAATCCGTTTCTGTATATTAAAATAAATATAATGAATATAAATAGAAATGAATATCTTTTGCTTGCACTAGTATGCTTCTTTATTGCAGCGTGAGCTCGCAGATCACTGAGTTTAGCTGTAATAACATAGTAGTCTTGCAATAGTTGCAATAAACCCTTTGCAGGTCTGTGTCATCCCTGCGAATCCATGCCTTAAATTCATCACTTTTAAGCCAGACATCGCGGCATTTTTGTTTATACTCCTTCGGCATTTTAGAACTTGCTAACAATTTACGCGCACTTTTTATATACAGATGGAAAAACTAAGCGACTTATGAAATTAGCGTATATCTATTAAAACAATCGATACGTCGCTACATTATCTGGTTTGTTCGTAAAGCTATCTTATTAGCTGCCACTTTTTCATATTTTGTACTTAAGTTTTAACAACACAAAAAAAAATCGGGAAAAAGCCAATTCAATTTCCAAAAAAGCCAGAATTCCCGCTTTTCACAATTCCCGCAATTCACAAATTTTTCCCGCAGTTAGCCTTAAAAAAAAGCCAGTTTTGACGGGAAAAAATCCAAATTGGCAGCACTGTCTGGGGTTCCAGGCTCAGCCGTTTTTGTGATAGTACTTTTTGGTACTGTTTGACTCCTCGATGTGTTTCTTGCTTAGTGGTACAACTCTGAATTCTTCTTATTGTCGGTAAAAATTCGACCATTCACTACGAAAATGTAAACAAAGATGGACGAGTGAAATATGATAGGCACCAATCGAATTGTAGTAGTATTTTACAAAATCGTATATTGCCACTATATTTTGAAAGTATTTTATAAGCTTATACCACTAAGGTTGAAGAGTTTTGAGGAAAATGCATTTGCTTTTTGTTAAAGAAAAATAACTTCAGATTTTCCAATTCCTCGTTATCTAATTAATTTTAATATATGGAAAGATAGTATAAACGACTGTTTTCCACACATAAGGGCGGCCTTATTTTTCACTGTTTTAACTCCGATGGTCTCAACTACTTTTTTACTGCATGTTTATTAATTAAGTAATTAAATTAAATAGCATTATTTATAAACGACATTTTTACTTTTTTTTAACGTTATTAATGAATTGTATTTTATTAGTATTTTCACCTGGCTTTTTCATTTCACCAACAATACGACAGCCTTTGCGATATACTTATCGACCCCTCGCCAAATGGAGAGTTCTTGTTTCCGATTGTTTTTTTTTTGCAAATCTAATCGACAAATCATAAAGCAATAGCAAATCTTCTTAATTAGCATTATCAATTGGGGTTATATAAAATATCAATTAGTGTCAAGACAAGTTCGCTGGGCCCGGTTGTATTTTATAAAATAACTACATACCGGAATGATAGACGACTGAGTAAACTATATTTTTCTCAAGCAAACAAGATCTAAAGTAGAAAAAGCCATTTACTTTTAATTTCCGACACACAAAAGGTGCTTGTTGTGCGAATCGCATAAATTTTGCGATTAAGATACTAATTACGTATTAAAATAATTAAAATTAAATTAAATAATAGATGTGGCAATACAAAAAAAAAAAATTTGTCTCGGCTGCCAAGGTTGCCAGACTGTTGGCGAAATGAGTGTCGGCTTAAAATAATTATTTAATGCAAAGGATAGCATTGGTATTATAAATTGACGGTATATACTATTTTATAAATAAATCTATTTAATTCAAAAAATTAAATAGGACACAAAACTTAATTAATACAACTGGAATTAATACTACATGGAAGTTTATAGTCTCTTTTTAGAAATAAATTAACTAAATTAGAAGATGCTGCCTGTTTATTACTTCTACAACAACTAAAACACCGTGTTAAGTATTTAAAGTAACCAAGCCAACTCGTTAAGCAGTAAAAAATATTGAACTTTCTGATAAGAAAACGATTCCAAAAAAAGAAGAAAGGAAGCTAACTGTGGCACTCCGAAGTTTATATACCCTTCCAGATAGAACTTTGAAAACTAGAAAATAATACAATATAAATTATATATATTAATGTCAAAAAACAATTAAGTCTGCTTTCATTTCATTCACCTATTATATTCCCATATTCACATTTACATACACAGTTTTGCATTTCTTCTCCAGATCTAAGGATCGTTTGTATAACACCTATATGATATAGTACACAAAATTGTAGAATAATATAAAATGGATACATCTAAAATTTGATGGAAATATGTTGAAAGCTGAAAATGTTCTCATTTTTAATTCTATTATCTTCTCGATCGTTCCTATGGGAGCTATATGATACAGTAGTCCGATTTTCACAAAATTGAAGAATTATATAAAAAGCCTACAACATTAATTTGATGAAAATCTGTTAAAAACCTGAAAATGTTATATTTTTTTTTGTGTGAATATTTTCCGATCGTTCCTATGTCAGCTGTATGATATGGTCGTCCGATCCGGCCCGTTCCGACATATATACGAGTGAGAGTTTATTGAAGACTAACTACAATGTTTCATTCAGATAGCTTTAAAACTGAGTTACTAGTTTGCGCAGAAAGAGACAGACGGATATGGCTAGATCGACTCGGCTGTTGATGCTGATCAAGAATATATACACTTTATATGGTCGGATGCCTCCTTCACTGCGTTGCAAACTTCTGACTGAAATTATAATTCCCTGCAAGGGTATATGAAAAGAAAACAGGAAAAGGTAAACACGAAATCGAACGACATCGTCAGAAACAGAAACAAACAAGGAAGCTGAAGTTTGTATACCCTTGATTTCAATTCGATCATTAATAAATAATATAATATAAATTATATATGTATATTTTTGTTCAAAACCACGAAATAATTGCTAATTTCTCTGCGGTCACCTATAGTTAATATAGTTACAGTCTTACAGTTTCATAGTTAGACATTTTACTCTACATTTTCGATAACTGCAATGCTACCATATGATATAGTCTCCCGATTTTCATAAAATTAAAACAAAATTGTAAAATAATATAAAATGGCTTTATCTCAAATTTGAAAATCTGTAGAAAACTTGAAAAGTTATAATTTTTTTTAAACATTTTTGTCCCAAATTAACTTGCAAGGTTAGGAAGTTTCGCTTCCCGAAGCTAACTGTCTCTCATAATAACGAAAATTTATGGAAAAAAGCAAATTTTACTATATTGACTTTCTATATCTAAAATCAGATTTTAAGTGTTTCTCTATAAGTCTTATTGTATAATATTATTTTTAAATATTTTTAGGTAATCGTCGTAGGAACATTGTTGAAGGAGAAACTGATCGTAGGCGTCGTGGTGCTGGTGGAAATAATGCAAATACATCTGCAGCCGCAGCCGCAGCTGCCGCAGCGGTGGCACATGCAGCTAGCACGGCGGCAGCTGCTGCGACAGGTAATATCTATGCATCCCACTCCAACTCCGCGTCACCCATTCCCACAAACGATGAATCTTCGCAGTCAGCACTGCTCATGCCAACGAACAATATATCTTTGTCATATGAAAAAAATTTAAGTGATGCTGGAGCTTCCAATGACTCAATTCCTTTAGCGACTATGACTGGTGTGGCAGGAGGCATGAGCATGGGATTGGTTTCAGCAACATCCAACGCCTCTAGTGCTCCGGCAGTGTATGCTGCAGCGAATCATTCGTCTTCAACTGTTGGAGCTAGTCCCAAAAAAGTGAAGCAACGCGTTGAACGCGACATCGCTCAACCATCTCCATACTGCGATTTTTGCCTCGGCGATCAACGGGAAAATAAGAAAACCAATATGCCCGAAGAACTTGTGTCGTGTTCAGATTGCGGTCGTTCAGGCCATCCATCGTGTCTTCAGTTCACAGCGAATATGATTATATCAGTAAAACGTTATCGCTGGCAATGCATTGAATGCAAGTACTGCTCTATTTGTGGGACCTCCGATAATGACGACCAGCTACTATTCTGCGACGATTGCGACCGTGGCTACCACATGTACTGCCTTTCACCACCGCTCATCACTCCACCAGAGGGTTCTTGGAGCTGCAAACTGTGCATGGAGGAGTTCCACAAGGATGCATAATTTAATGTTAAGATAATTGTACCACTGGATGAATACATAACGTACGCCGCATCCATACATACAAGTCCTTTACTGAATTAATTTATATTGGCTAGCAATTTTACCTAAATCCTATTAACATTGCATTTCATTTCTAATACTATTTGTAAGTGGAGCCATGAAGTATTTCTTTTTAGTATTCTATGCGGTTTTTTGAAGTAATATATTTATGTATGTCTAAAATAAGGTTCATATTGTCAATGTAATCGTAATATTATTTATATTCAGGAATGTAATCTAAAAGAAAAATAGTATTTAAAAAAAAAATAAATCATATAGTCAAAGGAATCTTTAATTGGAACGTTGTCGTACGTTCCTAATGCGTTGTTGTCATTTAGGACAGCGGGGGGTACAAGATCTAACGGAAAGAGCCGTCCGCAAAAAAAGCAACCAGCACCGTCATCATGGCCGAGAATACGAGCAAACGATCTTCGTGTGCGGCACAAAAAGTATTACTTTGTTGGTGGTAACTCGAGATCGGGGGTATGTGACAAAATTTAAGCCTTGACCGTCTGGGAAAATTGCTGACGTCTCCCAAAAGGAATAACAGAAAGAGCAGAAAAAGTAACTACGTGCCCATCGATTATCTAGAGAATGCCAGAATTTACAACTTCCTTAAATGCAACGGTGAAAAGGTGCTTACATATGTATGTACATACATATGTATGTATTTAGCGTCCTCTATAGCGATTGAGAAAAATCTGAAACACCGGTAAGCTCTAACGTTCTTAGACATGCTTTAAGGATTCAGCCTTAAATATGGCTCTTACATTGGACGGCTCAAATTTGTTTGAAAGAATTTAAGAATCATCGTTTTGTTTTTAGTAAGTTAAGCTACACATATACTCAGTATATAGTATTTTGGTAAGATAACATTTTGTATTCATTTGAAGTCCCTGTCGAAAATTCATCCGGCTAACGATTTGTTAAATGTTGTATAAATCTTATCAATTGTGCGTTTGTTTTAGTTTCCTTAATATTATTACAAATAAAAATTACAACTTTTTCTTTTAGTTTACTTACAAATTTCTAAAAATGAAAAAATTCGTAACTTTTTATTCCACAAAAGTCATGATACACCGCGATTAAGGTTAGCTTATTAGTTAATTTAGCAGTTTAAATTAAATTTAATATTTTGTGGGGTATCCCTTCATTTTAATCACTTCCTTAAGTCGTCTTGGCATGGATGAAACTAAATTTTCTAAATATGATTTGTCCATTTTGTTCCACTCCTCTTGTAACGCTGCTTTTAAGTCAGATTTATTACGAATTTCGCGAACTCGAAGTTTTTTTTCTAACTGATTCCATACGTGCTCTATAGGGTTGAGGTCGGGACTCTGTGGAGGAGGATTAATCTGTCGCCGAGCATTGTACAGCAACCAGAGGCGAGTGTTTAAGGCCGTGTGTTTCGGGTCATTATCGTGGTAGAAATAAAAATACTCCTTGATTCCAAGCTTTTCTGCGGTTTTCTTTAAATTTCTTTCAATAATCTTAATATACATTTTATGGTCCATTATTCCCTCAAGAAATTCCATGTAGCTGCATCTCTAAAACACTGATGGGGCTTGCTAAATATTAATGCTGCTCCATACATACAGTGGCTTACAGCTTAAAGTACCCTGCAGTACCAGTCATCAGTAGTTCATCAACGTTTCATCAACAGTCAAGGCGGTGTTGTTGATGATTCAGCGATGAATGGATGAATGAATTGTTGATGAATTTAACATGGGCATGTCCTAGGCTGTCAACTATTCATAAACAATTCATCGATTATTCATCAACACTTCATCGATGAATCATCAATAATTCATCAACAATTCATCGATGAATCATCAACAATTCATCAACAAATCGTCAACAACAGACTACTGTCGTAACTGTATAGTGGGCAGAGCGTCGACTCGGTAGAAGTCGCAGTCGGCAGAGCGTCGCATCGGTAGAAGTCGCAGTCGGCGCGTTGATGCCAGTGGCCTATTGATGACATGCGGTACTGCAGGGTATGCACATCATACTTTAAACTTCAACACAGTTAAAACTATAGGCGTACTGCGACATATGAGGTGTCAAACTAAAAATTACAATGTTTAGATTGACATTTGTTAATAATATTCATTTAATTTTTAATGTAAATTATTCTAAAAGCATTATATAAGTACATACAGACATACATTGAAATACTTCAATTTTTCACATCACAGCTGCTTAATACAGTTACTTTGAATTAGAGTTACTAATGAAATTGTTAGATTTCAAACGGTACTTTTTTGTACGTATGCATTGGGCATCATTTTTATACCTTTGCAGGGTATTATAATTTCAGTCAGAAGTTTGCAACGCAGTGAAGGAGGCACCTCCGACCATTTAATGTTTATACAACTAGTCTCTCAGTTTTGAAGCTATCTGAATGAAATTGTGTTTTTGAAAAGTGACATTAAAGAAACATACATACATATAGCTTTAAAGCTTAATCCATGACCATTGGTCTCATTGTTTTAGCTTTTAACATACATATGTACATAGTTTAAAAATTTGCTTTTACAAATAGCATTGTAGCGGATCAATCACCAGCGCTAACGTTTATACGACAAAGTTTTAATTCATGAAGTCCCCTATTGGGATAGATTAAAAGAAGGACGAAATTAGAAGCAGCAAGTGGAGAATGCAGAGGCTACCGACCAACCCATCAACTCGGAATTCAATCTGATGGACATCAGGGATCGGATCAGTAGGCTGCACAGGACCTAACTATTGAACCTGCCCTGACTTTAGAATCTAATAAATAAGTTATTGTTAAGCTATTTAACAAATTTAAAATTTTCTTCACGAGGGAAAGTTTTAGATAAACTCACCCATATAGAAAAAAGTCCGTTATAGCGACCTCGAAGGAGCTGTTTCCAGCAGCCGATATACAAAAGTCTCATAAGTATTTACCCAAATGCTTTATTTGCACATACCAACTTATTTTAGTTTTTGTTCTTGTTTTTGTTGACATGTTATGAATTTTTTTTATCGCGTAGCTTGATCTATGCAGAAGCAAGCCGAAAAGGAATGCGAAAAATAACGGTGCAGCTGACAATGCTAAGAGCCAAAGAATATCTTTTTTTATTTTATATATAGCTAAATAAGCTCAATTTCAGCCAATTGAAAGCGCTTACCGATGCCAATATAGTTCTTGTATTTATTAATAATTAGTGGTAGAGGCTCAAATTAAAATAGAAAACTCCATCCATATTTCACCCGTTCCTTGCCATCTATGTTTACTTTTGAATGTGAATTCAGAATTTCGCTGAAATAATATATCGCCTAATTATCGTCAAAATAAGTTAAAATGCAGAAGCACAACGGATGAGAAATTTGGCAACGTCAAATTATTTTTGGACCATGCGTTCAATGGATGAAGACAGGATGGATCCATGAGGGAAGGCCCCATGAAGCATCTCGGACATGCGTTAGTTCTTAATAGAAAAAAAACCGTTTTGCTGTTTTTTTGACCATTGAACTTTTGAATTAAGCTGCTCAAGAATTCAGTCGCTGACATTTTTGGGTTGTTTCCTATCCGGAACAATACATTAGCGCAGTATCGCAATACTATTTTTATATTTGTATATATTATTTCCATTGATTTACCAAAATTGAAATGTGTGCCATTTTCCATTATTCCATTTCATAACTCATCGACGCAACTTTGATGATGATAAATTATATTTTTTTTATAATGCTGCATGGTCACATTGAAATTTGGTCACATGATATTCACCTGACGACTTTGGCTTGAGAAAAGTTTTCAACCACAAAAGAGTCTGCTAGCGAGACTAAAAAGTAATTGGAGGTTTTTGCCGTGTTTTAAATTGTCGTCAAGATGAAAATTTGTGGTCCCAAATTGTCCCTGTGCGGTCTGATAATATCAGTTTGGGGCATTGTTCAATTGGTAAGTATTTATATACTTATACTTTCCTGATTGATTTTGCGTACACCTTGGAGTCACAAGGTTTCTGTTTTTATAGTCTGATAATAAGAAGAATATGTTTTGATTTTGTAGGTGCTTATGGGCCTATTTTTTTACATAAATAGTGTGGCCCTTATCGAGGACTTGCCACTAGAGGAGGAATACCATTCGTTGGAAGCCTTCTATACAGCCGCAAATCGAGCGTATAAACAGGTTAGTTATAATTAGGGATTGCTGATACTGTTCATAATTTAATTTGGATACGTTATATATTTTCAGAACGCCTACAACTGCTGGATCGCTGCATGCATATACGTTTTGACATTACTGCTATCCGCACAACAATTCTATATGAACAGCAGAGTGACTGCCAACTAATAGAAAAAATAACACCTCAGTGTCACTGTTATGGCTTATGTGGTAGAGCATTTTCGTTATCATATACAGCGCTGACCAATAATAGTATTGATATGTTTGGTTCAATATATTTGTTAAACCTACTTTTATTTTTTGTGTCTTGACACACGTTTCGTCATTAAATAACTAATTAAAATGTGTAATACTTCGCCAAACTTAGTTATTCGTTTTTGCACTTAATTCGTTTCGTTGTACTGTCCCATAAAATGCATTCCCAATTAAATAAGTGAATTTCCACAGTACCAATACGCAGATTTATTTTTGTGATTGTCATTACTATTGAGTAAAAATAATTAATAATTTCAATCAATCCTAATAAAATTTATTTACAGTTTTGTTTCATAATTAAGGTTTAAAAATTACACTTAATTTGTTAACTAAAATGAAGACGTTTTTAATATAACTTTAAAGGGAGTACTTTTCATTAGTTGTTCCATAAGATATTACGAAGGCAATTTTATGAAATCAAAAAATACTAGTTACCTTTACCGGGTATAATTGGAATAGAATTCGTACAAATTACTTGAACTTGACAGATGTGTTTAACCTATTCTATGCCGTTCGCTCGCAAACGAACCAAGTGCAAGCATAAAATGTGTTGTGATACACCTGTAGGGCATTATAATGTTCACCACTCCGCTCCTAATTTTTTTCTAATCGGCCCTAAGACAGCTATATGATAAAGTCGTCCGAACTGGCACCTTCCGACTTATATACCAATGAGAGTATATTAAATTAAAGTTACAAATATTCGAATATCTCAAAACCTGTTCCACAATTAAGTAAATTCTTTAAAATTTTATTAATTGGAAGATTTCTTAATGGAACTATGTACATATATTGAAAAGAAATTATTTTTCGACCACGGTGGACCTTACAGAAATGCATGTATGCGCAACGGACGACTATATCATATCGGAACAGGAAATGAGTATACGAAAAACAAGAACTCATTTTTTTCAACTTACAAATCAATTATATTTTGTCTTATGCAGGGCTTTATCATATAGCTGTCATACCAAATCTGAAAATGCATAGAAAATGTTAAAGTTAGGTTAGGTAAGTGTAAACTGGATGGAACTCGTGGGGCTACGCATAGTTACCCGGATGATTTATATAGTAGGTTGCAGTGGTGAGGCCCATTGCTGGGGCCTCCAATTAGAGCTAAGCTCCTTTTTGTTCCACTCCCTCTATTTGTTGTTGTTATACACTATCAGTACCATCCAGAGTCAGCCAGGAAACCTAGGATTGCCGAAACTTTCAGCTTTCCTATGTTTCTCAGTGACTCCATCTGGTAGGCACCGAAGTGGCGAAATCTGATGTGGTTTAGCGCTGGGCAGAAGCAGAGCAGATGTTCCGGTGTCTCTTGCTCTGTAGGTTGCTTACAGCTTCTACAGATTGCGTTGTATGGCAGTCCCAACTTCATTGCGTGCGAACCGATCGCCCAATGTCCCGTGGTGAGTGCCATGAACCTGCTGATATCCCGCTTGCTGTTGGATAGCAGTTCCCTGGTTCGTTTTTCGTCGTACCTCGGCCAGCATTCCCTTGACCTTCTGTGATCACTCTGGCCTTGCCATTCTTTATTAGCTATCTGCCTAAAGTGGTCATGGATCCTTGTCTGGATCGCGTTTAGGGAGATCGGTAATTCGAAGTCAGAACTTAGCCCTGCCGAGCCTGCACGGGCTAGTTCGTCTGCCTTCTCATTTCCTGGGATCTCGTTGTGTCCCGGTACCCAAGTTACTTGTACCTTATTTTTGTCGGCAAGTCTATTAAGGGCCTTCTTGCATTCTGCCACAAGTCGTGAGTTCGTTTTCACGGCAGATAGGGATTTTATAGCCGCTTGGCTATCCGAGTAGATTCGAACTCCTTTGGCCCTGAGGTCCTGCCTTAAGGAAAGTTCGACTGCTTCCCTTATGGCTAGTAACTCAGCCTGAAAGACCGTCGCTGAGTTAGAGAGATTGAAAGCCTGTTCAATTCTCCAATTTTCAGCGAAGATCCCAGCCCCTACGCCGCAGCTCATTTTTGAGCCATCGGTGTAGAGGGACACCTCGTTCTCCACTACTACTCTGCCCCTACTCCAGTCTTCCCTTGATGGGTATGATGTCGAGAATGCATTCCCGAATTTCATTTCCGCGATCATGTAGTCGGTCTTAACGTCTGTGTTAATGCCACTGTTTCCAAGGATCTTGCCGTACCCGGCGCCGTAGTCCCTCCAGCAATTGCTCGCCTTCAGTCTTACTGCGCTCTGTGCCGCATTGTCCTTCACGAACAGCTCTATCGGCATTATATCCTGGATGGCGTTGAGAGCAGCCGCGGGGCATGAGCGCATTGCACCCACTGCCCCCGCACTCGCTGCCCGTTGCATCCGTGTCAGCTTCGTTCTGTTGCAAGCCCTAGTTAGTGCCGGCCACCATACTAGGGCTCCGTATGTAAGAATTGGTCGTACCACTGCAGTGTAGAGCCATAAAATTATCTTTGGGTGCAGTCCCCATTTGTTCCCAAACATTTTCCTGCAGGAGTAGAATGCGATGCTTGCTTTCCTTACTCTTTCTGCAATGTTATCTTTCCATAAGAGCTTTTTATCCAGGATAACTCCTATATACTTCGCTCGCTCCGATAGTTTTAGCTCCATGCCGTTTATACTGGGCATGTTGAAGGGTGGTATCTTAGTTCTTCAAGTGAAGAGCATAAGTTCCGTTTTAGTGGGGTTGATACCTAGTCCGCAGGTTTTTGCCCATTTGTTTAATCGACCTAGCGCACCCATCATTATTTCGCTAATAACGTCAGGGTATGGTCCTGATACTAGCAGTACTACGTCGTCCGCGTATGCAACTGCTTTGACTCCACCCGTATTGAGATCTGTCAATATGGCGTTCATATTTGTGAGCCAGAGTAGGGGCGATAATACCCCGCCCTGAGGTGTGCCTCTCTTCACAGTCCGCGTGAGGTGAGTGCCACTCAGTTCGGCTGCGATCGTCATGCTCTTTAGCATGACCCCGATCCACTCTCTGATGTCTCTCCCAATACCTAACAAGTTGAGGGAGTCCAGGATAGTTCACGTTATTGAACGCGCCTTCGATGTCTAGGAAGGCTGCCATCGTGTATTGTTTGTGTTGTAATGTCTTCTCGACATGATGTACAACTACGTGTAGCGCGGTTTCCTTCTAGAGATTCTCGGATGTGGACGTCCAGGAGTCTCTCTAGAGTCTTCAGGGCGAAGGAGGTGAGACTTATCGGTATATAATCCTTTGATAGGATATGCCCCCTTCTGCCCGGTTTCGGTATGAAAATGACTTTAGCCTCTCTCAACAACAGTGGGATGTGCGTCAGTCTTAAACACGCTTCGTAAATGGCTACTAGCCATTTCCAAATGCTATCCTTGGCTGATTGTAGCATTGCCGGTATTAAGCCGTCTCTGCCCGGGTTTCTATACTTATCGAAAGAATCTATTGCCCACTGAATTTGCTCCGTGGTAATGAAGTCTTTCGTAGGTGTATCCATTTGAGAGTTCGTTTCCTCCTCGAGTTCCGAGTTCAGTCTTAGGCTTCCTGGGAAGTGGGTGTCAACTAGTAGCTCTAGTGACTCCTCGATTGTCGTCGTAGCAGAGCCGTCTGCTCTGTTGATCAGGGTAGGGCTTATGTGCCCCTTGGCGAGGATTTTGCTTACTCTCGCCGTGTCCCTTATGCCTTCCAGTGACTCGCAGTAGTTTTGCCATTTATATAGACCTTAAGATTGTTTACGCGGTATCGAAAAGTAAGTAGTTTGCTTGACATCCTATTGGAGGAATCTACTAGTTATGTGCTTATCATATCTAGTGCCTCCCTGCTTGCCATTACATTTTTTTACTGACCGCTGGCGATTGCACGGATCAAATCGCGCCTTTAATATGCAGCGCAGTGCCTGCCGCTGAGTCTTCTCTGTAAGCATGTTGTACGTCTTCTTTTCCCTCGTTCTCCACCACAATAAGACTTCATACAACACGGTCGGACGCACCACCGATTTGTAGACCCTGTGCATAAGAGCGAGCGAGGGACCCACCGCGTTTTCCACGCCGCTTGCACTTTTAGAACCGAGGGGAAACGGCTACGGTTGACGAGGTCGCTTTCTCCAACCGTTCCTATCGTGTTTACCTACATCCTTCTGAGACTGGATGGAACTCTTCCTGTTTCGGGACTGGCTTTTTCTCTTCGGTCCCTTCTGAGACTTGGAAACTGATTCACGGGTGTCAAGATCGGCTTTTCCCGTCCCGGGAAATTCTCTTCCCTGGACTGGAGACCGACTCACGGCTGACAGGGCCGGTTTCCCTTTGCAGATCCGATCGAGGCGCCGGCCCACGGCTGACGGGATCGGTGCTTTGGCGGTTCGTAGCCCGACCGCAGCCCTATACCGACAGTTCCCCCCCTTCTCTGAGTTTAGGGTACTTATAATTTATTTTATTTAATTCAAGAAATGATAACAGACCACTGGAATTAACTCTTTCAGTTTGCATCTCCCAAACTGTTTCTCTTTGACTGCACAATGTAAACAAAAGCTCACCAACATGCATTTACCAAATCTCTGTTCTCAAGTTCTGCCGCTGAGCAGTTGCTGATGTTAGTTTGTTTAAAACGGTTGTCTTTTTGCCCTTGTTTAGTGAATTGAAATTAGTTGATGCACCTTTCAACCTGATATCTCATGCATCTCATATCTCATTTTGGCCCCAACGTGTGGCATGTATAAACAAATTAGTAACGATTTATTGCAAATAAACAATTGTCGACATATCGCCCGCAAATCATTGGCTTGACCAAACACAACTCAACATCGTCATAATCGTATTCACAGTGAACATTCATACCCTGCCAGTGCACCCATCGCAAGTTTATAATAAATAAACATATAAAATTAACTATTAGAAAATTTCTAACGCCAACGACACGTTCGCATAACGGAACTATTCGCTATTCGTCTGGTGCTGTGCATGGTACAATTATAATTGTACCATGGTGCTGTGCTTTAGCTCAAGCTTTGTCGCACTTGGATTCTTTTTTCATGGACGTTGAAGCGCTACGGTCAGTACACTCAAGTGGCCCGTATGACACCAGGCACGTGCCTGTTTGGGTTTGGTGTTAGTAGGCGCGATGGAAAATATAGGACCAGAATATGAGGAAATTGACTAGCGGCGTGCTGCCAGGTTGTTTGCTTGCTTGTTTACTAAGTGTGTTAATATTAAAGATTTTAATTTGGGAAGGCTATCTACGTT